AATTCCAGTTTATTCTTAATATAACAATCAGGCATTGAGGTTATACAGGGTTCAGAGTGTGTAGCATTTGTTTACATCTCACCTGGTTAAGCGGGAACTGTTTGTTGTCGTCCTCGCTGTAGGTATCATATGCACTGTGGTTCCAAGCAAGCCTCCCGCAGGTCGGTTGTTTGTCCTGAAACTGGGACTGATTCTGCCTGTGTGCAAGCGTTGAATTATTGATTACTAGAGGAGAACCACTCTACCCATTTCCTGCCAGTGAAACCCATCACCATCTAGAGTAACAGGGGGAGTTGGAGGTAATCTAACCCTTCCCTCCCTGGTTACTGGTAGTTCACCACGGGCTGTGAGTCTCTTCTTTCTGCATGGCTGATTGAAATCTGTCAAGCTGATAACAAGGGGGGGAAAAAAAGTATTTCATAATTCAGACACATGCAATATGGCAATACACTCAAAGCAGTATTTGCAGAATAGTTTGATACATGTTAAACAAATACATAAAGTTATAATCTGATCCTAGAAAAGACACTGAGATGCATATGACATTCATAATGTTTAGATTTATTTGATTAGTGAAATATTGTAATATTGTGATCTATATTATTACAGTTTAAAACAACTGTTTTCTATTTTCATATATTTTAAAATGCTATTTATTCCTGTGATGGCAAAGCTGAATTTTATCACATGCAGAGCTGGGCAGTAACTGATTACACACTGTAAAAAAAAATCTATAAAATGTACGGTAAAAAAACGGCAGCTGTGGCTGCCGGAATTTTACCGTAAAAAATACGTTATCAACGTTTTAGGGTTAAATTTACAGTTAAATACCGTATTTTCATTAACTGATATAATGTTAATATAACAACCTATTGAAGTACTGAAATCTGTTTTGCACCTTTGTAATACACTGATAACCACCAAATGCAGGTGGTGATGAGAAAGTCACATGATGAACCAAAGCCCATCACAAGCAGCTTTTAAATTATAACATTATGTAGAAGGTGCACAGTGTCTTTATTCACACAGACACTAAACACCATCATGGTAACACACATGAAACTGAAATAATGCAATAAACATTCATTTAACAACATTAGGTGTAACACACAACCCTAATATACAAAACTGATATGAAGAAAAAGAAGAAACATAGTTATTTCAACAAAAAAACATCAAATTTGAAATGTAACGCAGGGAATTCTGGGAATGTCAATTTACGGTTATTCACTGTAAATTATACGGTCTTTTTCACTTCCAAAAACGGTATACTACCGTAAAATTAATGTCCAATACATGTAATGTCCAATACAGTTTTTCACCGTATATAGTTGGGGAATTTACCGTTAACCATTTAACAGGTTTTTACTGTAGCATTTTTACAGTCTTTTACCGTTAAATTCACGGTCATTTTTTACAGTGCATGTAATCTGGATTATGTAATCAGATTCCAAAAACTAAGTACTTGTATACTCGTAATCTGACTACAGTTAATGTTTTATTGATTACATATTATTCACATTAGAGCAATAAATTATTCATAATTAATTGATGCTCTCTAATTCCTCTTTTTCATCTTTTAAATGTTCCTTTTTAAAATAACCTACACATGACTGGGGGTAAACAAATAAAATATTCATTTCATTTTTTAGTAAGTTTTCTAACTGATTGATGTTGTTTTAAAACAATTTATTTTAATTTGAAATTTTTATTATTTAATGAGTTATGAACTTTTAATTAAACTTACAAACCCCCTGCAGTTCCTTTACCCCAGTTTGGGAAACCTTGATGTAATGTCATGTTTAATGCACTTCATGTTGTTAATAAAAATGAATAACATTCATGAATACATTTTCGTTCTTTTTGTATTTTCTATCTAAATGTTACAATATTTAAATCAATGTGATAAACGAGTTAGGTCAAAAGTAATCTAAAAGTTATCAAAAAGTAGTCTGATTATTACCTAAAATGTGTAATGTAACAGATTACAGTACTAACTAAAATTTTTATCATGTAATTTGTAATCAATTACGTATTACAGTTAAGTAGGTAAGTAATCTACCCAACTCTGGTCACATGATCCTTTAGAAATTTTTCTAATATGCTGATTTGCTGCTTAAGCATTTGGAAAATGTGATACAACTTACTGATCCCAAAACTTTGAAAAGTACTGTTTATTTATATTTATGTCTACAAATAGGCCTATAATAAGGACAAATGTTAGTAGTGTAGTAAAGTGTAGTTGTTTCACTTTTTACATCAATATTTCTCATGGGTTTATTTTTGAAAGTCAGTTTCTGTATACACATATTGACTCTATCTATATACAGTTTATTGAACACAGTGACAATATGTGTCACACTTGACGGATCTTTTGACCAAAAGAAATTGTAAGTAAACATATCGCCTATATAATAACCTCAGATTGTTTGTTGTTGATGACAGTTGGTCTGTTGAGTGCAGTGGAGTTCTGCAGATCCCAGCCCACTCCACCACATAGCAGTGTTTCGGTAACGGCGGGGTGGCGTCTGGTGCAGTCTGCAGACCGGAAGAGAGAGTTCACTCGTGGCATCTGGAGATAACGGGCCGATTCCAGTGCTGCGCGGGAAATAGTCCAACCTGGGACGGAAATCTCCAATGCCATCTGGACCTGCACTCTTAAAAATAAAGGTGCTTCAAAAGGTTCTTCAAGCGATGCCATAGAAGAACCATTTTTGGTTCCACAAAGAACCATTCAGTCAAAGGTTCTTTAAAGAACCATCTCTTTCTTACCTTTTTGTAATCTGAAGAACCTTTTTTCGCCACAAAGAACCTTTTGTGAAACAGAAAGGTTCTTCAGATGTTAAAGGTTCTTTATGGAACCATTTAGACCAAAAGGTTCTTCTATGGCATCGTGAAGCACCTTTACTTTTAAGAGTGTAGATAGCACCAAAAAAGTTCCATTGATTCACATTCGTAAACTTAGCCTACTAACTGTTAATGATTAAACAAAGTGTCCTACTAAGCTAGTTTCAGAAACGTTCATAAATGCTTACCTGTGAACAGTATTCTCTGTCCAGACGAGCTCTGAATTTCCCTGTCTGCTTGAGAAGATGTAGTGTCCTGTTGTACTCTCTTCATCACCTTTACTTTGTTTAAGCTACCTTGGTCTTAAAACTGTTGCCACTTGCCAAATCTTTGAAATATAAGTAAGCGCATCTCAGAGGCTGTAAAACAAGCCCTGGTCAGGAGGTCACTCACTCATTCACGCGCCATTGCCATGGAGCAGTTGGTCTCCACCTGTTTTTATACAGTCTATGGTCTCCACGGAACCAGTGTTTAGTCGGGTTGTATTTTGCTATTTATATGGACTATTTATTAAACTAAAGTCAGTCAACACGGATTCTATTTAGTACATGGCCTATACATTTGAAACAATACATCTGATGTAGCCTGTAGTTTTCTCATTGACATCAGTGATAAATAAATAAATAAATAAAAATAAAATTGGTAACAACAACCTAAATAAATAACCTACAGACAAATAAACAAGTAGACAAAAGACTGACTTATTGAAAAAGGAATAAATGAAGGAATTCACAGTATATTTAAATTATAGTGTCTAAATGTGTTAAACCCCTTCTGAAAAAGAGAAATCTTGATAACACCATATTGAGCAACTATAGACAAATATCAAATCTTCCTTTTATAGGAAAGATTATTGAAAAGGTAGTCTTCTAACAGAGCACTCAGATCATTAGGATCGAGTCAGTTAGAAATACCGAGGGTTCACACAAAACAAGGGGAATGTGCTTTTAGTTATTATGCCACCCGCAGTTGGAATCAGCTTCCAGAAGAGATCAGATGTGCTAAAACATTAGTCACATTTAAATGCAGACTCAAAACTCATCTGTTTAGCTGTGCATTTATTGAATGAGCACTGTGCGATGTCCAAACTGATTGCACTATATTATATGTATAATCGTCTTCTTAAATTCATTTTAAACCTCTTAAATCAATTTTTTTTTCAAAGTTTTTAAATTCCTTGTTTTATTGTTGTGATTTTTGTTTTTATTTTATTTTATGTAAAGCACTTTGAATTACCATTGTGTATGAAATGTGCTATACAAATAAACTTGCCTTGCCTTGCCTTGCCTTGCCTAAATCTATAAGCAAACAATAAAATAAATGAATAAATAAAATGCACACATAAATAAATAAAATGCACAAACAAACAAACAAACAAATAAATGGGTGTGATTCTTAGGGAATGCATGAGCTGATAAAATGTATACTTTCAGTGCAATAAAAGTTGCTTTGTATAACAGCATCTAATGCAAAAACGTAATGCAAGATTTGACGTTTACTGTTTATAAATGCAAAGACAGTGTTTGTAGAGGCAAACTACTTCTCAAAGCACATCAGCAGAATATTTGATATTCAAACAATGTCTTTGAACCGGTTTGCTTTTGTTGATATAAGTCTCAGATAACTGATTTCCATCATCATGGAAGTGTCATATTACAAGCTTTATTTACAGATTTAAAAAAAACATTAAAAAAACAAAACAAAACAAAGGCACAATGTTTTTTTTTTTAAAGAAAGTGCATATGTCTAGATTTCATGAACATTCTTATCACATGACCAGAGCTGTTTAATTCCAGTTTCCCCTCTGTGTAAAACCCGCCACAGCACAGAGAAAGCTACCATATTTGGCATGTATAGTTAATATGAAAAGCCTCTGTTATGATTATATTATGACGATTACCTTGGAAAAACACATAAAGTTGCATTTTGAATTAGTAACAAACTAATTCAAATTAAAACTGCAGAAATATATATTTTTTAGCAAAAATAAAGTAAAAAGAAATATACATTTTAATTTGTGGATTATCATTGTCTTTCCCCATACCTGCCAGGAAATGTGTGTATTATAATAGTGTATGACTCAAAGCTTGCACTACCGTCTTCAGCCAGTGGATGGAGACAAGCACTATGTGTTGTGGGTAGCTAGGTTGGTCTGTGGGCGCGTTATTGTGCTGAATGGACTCGCCCATGAAACCTCTTGAGGCGGTCGGTCACCATGGTGGTGGCTTACAACAGCGAGCCCAGACGGCAGACCATCCGTCGCGTTTAGACGCTAAACCACTATTTATAAATGCTGCCTTTGACCCTCCGCTGCTTTGCAAATGGCTTAAAATGGACAATCACACAACACACATTGTTTTAAAATGGAAAACTGAAGAAGATAGAATAGCGAACAGGAGACAAACGGAATGCTGAAAAAAGCACTCGTCTGCAAAAACCTTTCATTAACACAGAATAGCCTGTCAAGTCACAGTTGAAGCTTCAGCGGCTGGAATAGGAAAAGCAGACCGTCTGGCTTTGTAAGATTGGGACGAGGGACAGTAAGAGAGCTCCTGGCTTAGGCTGTGGCCTGGGGACAGGCTCTCCTCTGCAGTTGCTGCTATATAAAAACGTTTTTGTATCACTAAAAAGCCACTTGTGAGATTTGCTTGGGATTATTTGACTTAACTGTTGTGCGCGATTGTTTTGAAAACCATGGCGTCCTATGTGGATAACAGTTTTCGGCAGGCGGTGATGGTGAATCCTTCAGACAGGACGCAACAGGTCAGAAGACAGTCTTTTAAATCATTTATTATGTGCACTGGTGGCTGTTAAATGTTACAGTATGCTGCGTTACTGCTGTTACTAGTATCACGTGCATGATGTGCTTTTCTTTCACAGTGTTGACAGTGCAACAGTTTTTTAAGTTTGTATAGCTTTGGATAAGCAGTGCAATGAAATAAAATGGCATGAATTAATATGCATACATGTATTGTCCCCAATCAGCTTATAATGCAGGCACGTGTATTTTCTCTTCACTGTTTTTGCAGTCTATTACATAAACATGAAGCAAACGTTTGTAAACTACGTTTTTCACTGCTACACAAGCCTTGTCAGCACGACTTTGCGTCGGAAACAGTTTAACAGTGCATAAAGCCGTGCTACTGTGTGATGTGAGACAGAACTGACTTTTAGTTATAGGTTTTAAGTGCAAAATATTGTTCTATTATGCTTTGAAAGGCGTTGCGATGACATTTTGCCTGCTTGGTATAGTCTCCACCCTTTTACGTGGCTCAGCAGGCGACCGAAAAGCGTTATTATACGTTTTCTGCAGGGCTGTCGATATATGTAAAAGTCGAAATGTATTTGCAGTTCAGTTTGTGATATTTTCTCCCTTGAAGTGTTTGTATTGTCTGTGATGATTTGGAGAAACTACGGAAAATAATCGATACTAACGAGTCGGGCACTTAAAGTGACAGGCTGCTTTGTCAGACATAAAAGAAGCCATTGATTCTTCTACTGCACATCTGGTTAATTCGATTTTGCCCTCTATATTATCTTAGGTTACAATAATTCACAACAATTGTGTGTTTTATGCTGAAAATCACCGAAGAAGATCAATATTTTAAGGGCATCTGAGGTCATCGTTATCATAAATTGGACATTCGTTATTCATGTTTTGTTCGTGAACGAATCGGTGTTTGACTGAATCATTAAAGTAAACGATTCTCGGGGCGGCACCGAATGAACAAAACATTTATTTTGCAAAATAAATGAACATCACAAATGAATGAACAGAAATGCACAACTAATATTTTGGGGGTGCTTACAAAAAAAATGGATGTTGCTGGATTTGCATTCATTCAAATATTGTGAGTTCGCTTACAAAAAAATCTTTCACTTATATGAAGCAATGCTAAGTGGCCATTTCTGCACATTGTTACATTGTGTTCATTGTTTCATTCAGAAAACGTCCATTTTAATTGTGCATGGTCATCAGTCATTTGTATGCATTCTCGTTCACAAACAATATTTATAATTCATTCATCACGTTCAGGTGACTTTCATGTGTAGTTCACAAACAAAACCATTTAACGACAAAACAATTAAATGCTTCACAGCCCATCAGCAATGCTTGCTATAGTCCGTTTTTGAAAGCAGGAAGCAGTCACATGTTCAGAGAACAAAAAACGAGTCAGTGCATGGAAGTGAACAAGAATGATTTGATTCGTTCACAAACTAAACACCTCTAGTCAATACTAATTAAATAATGTGTCGGGCACTTGAGGTGAGAGGTTGTCAGACAGAAAATAAGCGATACGATTCTTCTGTTCTCTGACTAATTTGATTTAGCCCCCGTTTTTCCACTTTTATTGGGTTACAAAGATTCTCCTACAGATTATGTGTGTTTTGCTGAAATTAACTGAAGCAGCTCAGTGTATGAATCTTGAGTACATTATCATACAATGGACATGAATAATAGCAAACCAGCTGGTCTGCTTCACATGTGCGTGCTATTAATCACACAATAATCTTATAATCACACAATGTTCCTGTTGTGTGGAAATAAACATGTTCACTCATTAAGCCTTTTACATCAGATTGAGCCCTGAGACGTAACAAACTGATTGTGAAAACTATTTTAGTGCACCGGGGAACAATCACATCTGTTCATGCATTGAGTTGTTTGTACCTGGATTTAAGCATGCCAGACAATAGAGGCACTTGAGGGTCAGTATGGTATTCATTAGCGAATGCAACTCTGTACAGCTGCATTTCCTAGAGATTACGTGATATTCCATGTCTGCTCCCATTGAGTGATGGAGCTTTATATCATCCCGGGTCACTTCAGAGTTGGCCTTTATTCAGTTATCTCAGTACTTTGGCCTGAGCGATCAGCATGTGTGCGTGAGTTTGGGAATACTGACCCCTGAAACCAGAGCGCACCACACCTTAAGTTCACAATTGAAAAAGTCACTTGCGAGTTCGTAGAATATAGCATGATGTAATCTCGGTCAGTTCATGTGGACTGAAAGGAGCTGTTCCATGAAGTGGGCTTTAAGACACCATTCTAGTGTAAAGACTTCTTTTTAGGGAATGACGCAGGCTGTTCTAATGGAGCTTGAAGCTCATTACGGGTTAACGGCAACAACCTCAGCGCTTTGCATTAACTTGCTGATGGATGGTGTAGATCTTAATGGGGCGAAATGTTCCCCAATTGGAGTAGGCGATATGGGGGAATAGTGAAGAGTGTAGCTTCTAGCTTTTAGGAAGCTATTTTTGAAGGCAGACAGGTATGCAGAGGTCAAGGAGACTGTGAACAGGCTGATGGGAGTTTTTGCTTTGACCTCTGAGTCAGTAGATCAAAGTGCAGGAGGGCACATCTCTTATTGTTCCACAGGGCCGCATATTGAGTATTCGGTAAATGAACAAGCTAAATATAACATTTGACGTCAGAAGACAAAATCTCTTTCTTTTTTTTGATGCCCACAAACATATGAGAAGCTGGTCATCCTGGACTGATGGTTTCCTTCCAAGCAGCTTCCTTCCTTACTTTTTTTAACAGTGAGAGGAAGTGCATCAGAGGGTTGTCTGAGCTTGACAGAGTCTAAGAAATCCTTTTTCTTGTTTGCTAAAAAAAAAAAAAAAATCTTCCCGCTCCAATCCCTTTTTTTTGTTCTTCACTAATGAAGCTTTGTTTACACACATATGCCAGTCCGTAAGCTGCAGGTGTCTTATGAATTCTTGTAAGAGCAGAGGCATATGGGTCAATCTCTGTCAAAGTATTGTCTAGATGTTTTTTATTTTTAAATCAATCATAAAAGAAAAGCCTATTAAAAATCTCATTACCGCAATGCAAAAGTTATGATATATTATTTAATATATTATTAATGTGTTATTTAATCCATAACTCAGTATTATAGTGCTTAATTATTTTGCATTATTCTGAATTAAATTGTATTACAGTAATGGTAATGCCATGAAAATCACTATTGATAATATTGGAAATTACAAAAAAAAACATTAGTATATCTATAACATATTATAGTATAATGTAATGTAATATAATATAATATAATAACATCAATGATCCTAAAATTTTAGTTTTCAAGGTATGGTGTTATAAATATATTATTTTGGAGTGAAATGTGCCTTGTACCAAAAGCATACATCTTTAAAATGTTATAAAGAAAAATTTGTTAAACATGATTCAACGTATTCAAAATCTGTAGACTGTTGTCTTGCCATCCTCACTGTCTAAACATGTTTTAGTAGTTAATGGTACCTTTTAAAAATACTGGCAGAAAGAACTGCTATTCTTATAGCCTCAGGTCTTGTTTTTCTCTGTTTCTGAATTTTTACATAGACGTTTTTTTCTTAGTCTTCTTGCCAAGTGAAGTCACATGTTATGAATAGGAGTCATTGCCTTGACAGAAGTAGTTGGACACATACTGTACATACACAAGCGTGCGTGAACAAAGAGTGGTTTCAGTGACATCTCCCATCTCAGTTTACACAGGAAGAATAAACGGGTCGGCTGGAGAACATAAACAAATGATGACAACTCTCACGTTAAAACCAGAGCGTGTGGCACGTCTTTCTTCTCCTATGTTGTTGGCTCAAAGAGATATTATTCTTTGGTAATGTATAGCCTGTAATGGCCCATCAAATGCTGATGGTGATGATTATGGATTATGTGTAGATAAATGATTATGGAATTGCATTGGTACCTTTAAGTCTTATTGGGCTATTATTTCCAGTATGATGAGGTCATTTGACCTTTTGATTTCATGCCAAATGATGCTTGGCTTATGTTAAAATTGGCCAGCCACTGGGTTCCTTTATTTATTTAAAAGCAAAATATGAGGAATGCCTAATGGCTGAAGTGGGAATTTCACTAGGATTTGGAAGGCAAATTAAATGTTTTTACTAGAGCATTCCAATCCAGTTATTGCTGGACCAACAGCATTTGACTATGTGCGTCCGTTTTAGTTTTGGTAGGAGAGTCTAATAAGCTCATCCAATGAAGTGGAATGCAATATTTGAATGCACCAGTGGTCATCACATGCTTAATTTAATAACAAACTTAAAAAATGCTCATCACAAGCTACAGTTGGTCACATTGCTTTGTGTTTTACCTGTTGTGCACTAGTTTTCTGCCTTTTGGAAAAATCCATTTATAGCTTTCTAATTCTTCTGCAGTTTAAAGGTAAGAGGACCATTTGCTTATGCTTCTGAGATTTTGCAGAGAAACGGACTGCTTGTATAATATTGATAAGATGTGTAGTAAAACTACACCTGCTTGTGTAGTTACTTTTGTTCTGTTCGTATCATTTTGCTTTCCAACTAGGGAGGGGAAATGGAGAAATGTAACAGTGCTGATTCTAATGATACCGATTCCATTAACAGTACTGCTTTATTTCCAGCTCGACTTGATGAAAGTTCACTTTGTGGTCAGTGAATAAGTGAAGAACAGCTCTGACCCGATGTTAGTTAGTCACTAGAACGATTTAAACCAATAGCTTTGCCACAAGAATGACTTGAGTCATGTTGGCTGATTCATTAAAAAGAACCAGTTCATAAGAGTCATTAGTATGCATATCTGACAACACTGGTCGTGCTGTATGTTTGTTGTTGCATGCCATAAGCGAGGACAACTGGATGTTTCTTTTTCATCACATCCAGTTCAGACTGCAAGTTCACAGCTCAGACAAAACTAGCCTAAACCTTTGGCATTAATTCAGTAGTGGCATAGGAATAGCAGTGCAGGAAATCCATTAACA